TGAACTGGGATGGGGAAACAACGAGCTGTCCGCCAAGCACATCGAGTCTCTGGAGAATGATATCAAACGTGAAATCGCCCGCGTGGAAGCAGGGAGCTGGCTAAATCACCTGGAGCAGAAGGACGATCGCGTAGAGGCTGTCGAGCGCATGTTGGACCGCGCGATCGCTGAGTGCGACGAGCTTGAGGGTCTGTTAACCCTCTACAACGTTGAGCTGAGCAGCTTGAACGATGACATCGCTTTCATCGAAGCACAGAGTCAAGGTCTGCAAGTGCAGACTGCGAACCAGCGGCTACTGCAGCACGAACTTCAGCAGCTAGTCGACACTATCTCGATCACATCAGATCAGCTGGAGTCATTGAGACGCGCTCCTATAGGCAAGATCAATGGACTCAAAGATATTGAGTTTTCTTTGGTTCTGCTTTACAAGGCACTCATTACAATCGACCCTTCTTTCGTCGCCGGAGCTCGACAAGGCACAATCAGCAGTGGACCAGGATTTGGTAATAGCGATTTGGCAACGATGCAAGCTCTGCAAGAGAAACGAGACAGGTACCTCAATGAGGGCTCCATGTTCCTCGAGAGGCTCAAGAAGCACATGGAAATCACGTTCGGCGCAGCATTCTTATCGACGAAAGACGCACTTTCGAGACTCGATGACCAGGGATCTGAGCCATCTCTCAAGAGGAACGTAGAAGCGCATGACGCAGGTCGAAACGAGTTGTGGATGTTGAGCCCAGTCATGCTGTTCGCGAAAGAAATCGACAGGGCAGCATGGGACTCACTACTACGCATGTATCAAACTCAAGCAGCGCAGGTGTATCAACAAGAGGTTCGCGACAATATCCTGGCATGGAGACGGTTCGCAAGAAAGCCCACTGGCGAGGAGCAAGAATTGCTCTTTACTGCACAGGAGAAAGAGCCGGAAACCACCTCCACATTAGGTACGGCAAGGAAGCTGACCGTTAAGCGAAGTCAGACCCTAGCTCGTGGCCTGAGATCAGCGTCTGGGGACAAAGATGGCAAGGCAAAGCCAGTGGCTCAAGACGGCAAGTTCCACGCATTCAACGTCTTCGCTAGGATCCTAGAAGACACCGGTCCGGTTCTTTTGACGGAGCAGAACTTCATTACTGAGTTCTTCCATGCTACCTCAACTGACTCGCTTGACTTCCCCGAGGCCGTGCAAGCCGCGCCCCCTGAAGCGCGTCGTGGACCCAACCTCTGGATCCGCAAGCAGTTCGAGGCGGACCGAGCCATGGCAAAACACGTCACTGGTGTCATGGAGGAGATCTTCTCTTTCTGGCCCTCTGAGATTCAGAGCCTTGTGGACTGGGCTACCAAAGCTGATCCTCTGTAAGTCATCTTCATATTATACATTGCTCGCTTACTGACTATTCGTAGGCAAGGTGTAGGCATTCTTTGTGCTGTCGACCGGAAGTTGCTCGATATCGCAGAGACAGACCAGGACTTCTTGACAAGGAACCTGCGAAAGATACACGAACGTTTGCAAGGGCTGTTCAGCCGCTTCTTGGACGAGCAGATACGGGCCATTGAAGATACGAAGGTCAAGATCAAGAAGCGCAAGGGAGTCATCTCATTCATGAAGACCTTCCCACACTTCTCTGTCGCGATCGAGAACATGTTGCCGCCTGCTTCAGAAGGCGGAGACAAGTTGGAAATTCGCGACATGGTTGACGAAGCGTACCAAAGGATCAACAAGGCCATGTTTGAGAGTTTGAAGGTCATCGCCAAGGAGTCACCCACCGTCATGGCTTCACAAGGACAGGGCGACCCTGAAGATAAAGAGGCGCTCAACTACCACATCTTGCTCATCGAGAACATGAACCACTACATGGAGGAGGTTGATGCCCGCTCGGTCAATGTCCTAGAATTCTGGAAAGGCAAGGCTCAAGACGAATACAGCGAGCACATGAGTCTTTATGTCGACGCCGTCATCCGGAGGCCACTGGGCAAGCTTCTGGTAAGTAAACATCCTCATATACCACCAAATCTAACATGATCCAGGAATTCATTGAATCAACCGAAACCCTCCTCTCACAACCCGGCGCAAGCGCCCAAGCCATCGCCCAACGCTCCTCTCATTCGCGCTCAGTCTTCAAGAAATTAGTCCACTCCCACGACGCCAAAGAACTACGCAAAGGCATCGAAGCCCTCAAGAAGCGCGTCGACAAGCACTTTGGCGATGCCGACGACCCAACCATCAGCCGCGACCTCGTCTTCAAGGTCCTCAAGGAATGCGAGAAGACATACAATAAGGTGTCAGAGCGCATGACGACTATCAACCAAGATGTATATAGTGGGGAGGTGGAGATTGATTGGGGCACCAAGGAGGTCGAAGCCGCGTTCAGGAGATAGAGTCTTCGGAAGAGTGGGAGTCGGCATCTTCTCGGGTTTGTCGTGTAGTGTCAATTGCATCGCTGTGTTGCTGGTGTTTGTTGTGTTGTTAGGATTTGTGTATTGGAGTGTTTTGCATTGACGCGTCTATGATAGTTGGGTGTTGGGGGCTGTATGGCTGGATGCTGGGCTAGGTACGCGGCTTGCATGGTGTTTTGGTGCGGCGCGAGTGATTGCGAAATGTATCGTTATGCCTCCGGGCTTCCTCATCATCCCGCACCATACATGCATCTTCTGTAAATCTAGATCTCAATGCAGTACGTCAACACGCATCCTTATGCACGTAAGCAAGATCTCGTATCCTGAATGCGAAGCCCGCCGGCGTCCGAACGCACCGAGCCCTACGCGCTATCCGGAAGCTTACCGCTGGACCCCAGTCACAAGTGGAGGTAAGCGAGGAATGACGGCATCGATCCTGACTACGAGTCTAGATCGCCAGGCGCTTTGCAACAACGGTATGCGCCGGATGAACCGCCGATGAGTGTGTTTGTTGGGTTGAAATAGCGAGGTTGCATAAAGAGTACCTGAAGATCCTCCCGGTTTCCGATTGAGGGTTATATGTTGGGGTGCGCCGAAGTTTCCTCAACTGCTTTTCTGATTTCGAAGCTTTGCGGCAATATGACGCTCCTGCAGACTCTTCTTCGCGCAACGGCGTTCAAGAACCCGCTTCTACGTACGCTTGTTCCTTCTGTTGCGCTTGCGTACGGTATCCAGGCTGCCGTCGCTGTTCCCTCCATCGCGGCGCAAACGGAACGGTACTATGACCTCTCCGGCAGCTTCACATACCTGTCCTGCACAGCGCTCAGCTTAGTCCTGCCCTACATGCGCGCAAGAGCCGCAGGCACCATCACCGGCGGTATAACCGAGTATTTCAGCGCCCAGGGCCTGGGACAGGGCACGTGGTGGTGGAGACAGGCGCTTTTGAGCGCTGCCGTGGGGATTTGGGCTACGAGATGTACGTTCCGCGCGCAATAGTTGGATTTGAAGGAGAGTTCAGGTGCTAATGGTGATGAAACAGTGGGTTCCTACCTCTACAAACGCATATCCAGCGACGAAGGAAAAGACTCGCGTTTCGACTCCATCCGTACTTCCCCGCCTAAATTCCTCGTCGCCTTCTTCGCTCAGGCAACATGGGTGTCTCTCTGCACCCTGCCCGTTATCCTGGTGAACTCCGTTCCTCGGTCTGCTTACGCAACCTCACTCCTCGGGCAAGCCGTATCCTCAAAACCCTACCTAACAGATATCCTCGGCCTCGCCATCTTCGTCTTCGGTCTCACTTTCGAAGTTGTGGCCGATAGACAAAAGGACGCCTGGGTCCAAGGCAAAAAGCAAAAGAAACACTCCGAAGAGTTCCTCACACACGGCCTGTGGAGTAAGAGTCGGCATCCGAATTACTTCGGCGAGGCGACGCTGTGGAGTGGTATTGCGATTGCGGCCGCGGGGTTGCTGGTTAGACAGCCTGCGCAGGCTGCTTTGGGATTGAGTGGAGGGATTGGGGGACAGGTGCTTGTTGCGGGTATGTGTGCGGCTAGTCCGGCTTTTGTGTCTTTCTTGTTGTTGAAGGTTAGTGGGGTGCCGTTGAGTGAGGATAAGTATGATAAGAGGTATGGGGATCGCAAGGATTATCAGAAGTGGAAGAGGGAGACGCCGATGTTTGTGCCGAAGATTTGGTAGGTTGATGGAGGGGGGGGCTTGGTATGTTGAATGTGCCGAGTTTTGGGCGGGAAGAAGCTGGTGGTGATCGTTGAGTATGTAGAAGAGAACTGCGTCGACATTTCTCAATCAGTTTTTCGGCGCTTTCTCTACTATCCGCAAAGCCTCTTCGTCCATGACTTTTGCTTCCACCAGCGCTGCAACCGCATCGCGTATCCAAGTCTGACAGTTCCTTATCTCCACCTTCTTTCTTGGTACCTACCACATCCAGTCAATCAGCCATTCCATAAATTGCTTACACATCGAAAACCTCACCTTACTATCCGCAGCAACCAAACTCGGCCCCGGTGGCTTCACACCCAGCACAACCTCCTCAAGCCGATCTCTCGCAACTTGATCAACGGACCACTTCCCATCACCCTTTACGTCAACGACATGTTCATCCGCAACGTCCCCCAAAGAGATGAGTTGGTACCGTCGTCCATCAGCACCAAGCTCGTAGTTGCGTTCGAATTCAATACTGAAGCCACTTGCTGCGTCGCCAGTTGCATTGAGATAGGTCCCGGTTTGAGGGTCGCTAGACGAGAGGTGCGGGATCCAGAAGCCCCAGTGCGCGGGGAAGAGAGGGGAGTTGAATACGATGAGGTAGATGGGCCGGGGCATCTTTCGGATTTTTGGTTTGGGATGTGGAAGGACTAGGGTCGAGTGTGTGGTCGGAGGTTTTGCTGGCAAGCAAGGGGGTGCGCAGCGCTAATGCACTGTGCCGCCCCCGCGATCAGCGTTGCAGGCCTGGATGTCTTAGATGTGCTAGGCATCAGCGTTGTACTCTTGTATGCAACGAAGATGATTGAGAAGATGGCTGTCAGTAAGTTAACTCGCATCTCTAGGGTGTTGCGGTAGACACTCATAAACGGCTTTTCGAGCTTTGCAACATGCCGGTATTAAACCTACCAAACTGGCTTCGCATGTACGTATTCTGCAGTACTCCGTATACTATATTAACAGTACCCAGTGTCTTCCTAGTGTCTACTCCAGCCTCCATCATACCACAGCTCTATCGCACTATCAGCAGAAGAAACAGTTCGGGTATCTCGACAAACTACCTGCTGTTTAACCTCATCTCAGCAACCGAACAATTCGCTTTCACCTTCTTCTACATCGTAGATTCTATCCGAGAAGACAAAGGTTTTCACCGCGAACCCGTAACCGTGGGGAATTGGATCGATCTAGCACAAACGATTGTTGTACTGTTGTACTGGCTCACCTTGTAAGTGCCGTTTCCGTCAATTCTATTTCTCCATTCATATCTAGGTAAGGTAGACATACTGACTACTTCCACCCGCAAAGGTCAATCCTACACCTCCACTACCCCTCCAATTACCGCGACGTATCAACAAGCTCCGCCATAACAGCCTACGCAACATATTTCTTCATACTGATCTTCCCGATCTTCGTCTATGCCTTCTACGCTAACAGCATTGACTGGTTTACCCACATCATGTTCGCCTGGGCATGGCATGGCGCGCACATCCTCTGCATCAATTGGATTGTCATCGGTTTGGGCATCGCGTCGTTCTTTTGGCAGGCGAGAGCGATTGGTGCCGAAAAGAATGGGGAAGAAGAGGATGATGAGGGGAAAGAGGGAGCACTGAGTAGAGTCGGGCTTGCGATGCAGGCGGTGGTGTTTGGCGTCATGGGCGTAGTATGGGGGTTAAGCGTTGAGGTACCTTCGCGGTGGGAATGGTACGATGGGTTTTTGGGGTGGTGGGGTGGGTGGTATAATTATTCGGGCTGGCTTGCTGTTGGTTATGTGGTGTTTGCGGGCGTACAGGCCGGGTTGCTTTGGGAGGTGATGCGGAGTTGCAAGGCAGGAGATGAGGGTAGTGATGGTGAGAGGGAGCCGTTGCTGCACGCATGAAGGCATGTACGTAGCTTGTACTAGGGAACAGTGAACATCTGTGCTATAGTCTATATTGGGGTGAGATAGATGTTCATGAATTCATGAAGCAATGAAGACTTTTGTGTCTTTCGTTGAAGCAGATGTAAAATTGATACCTTTTTGAATGAAGGCTTACTGAACGGAGTGCTCTTTGCCATCTCCTCTGCATGTCACAGTTCGTTCGCTGACAGCTAAGTTTTGTCTTCCGATCATCAAACGCCTGCTTCCATACCCAGCAACTCCATCATGAACCGCTTGCACTTTTACCGAATAGCGTTACGTCTGCCTCACTCCTCTCGTTCTTCATCATCGTCGTCACCCCCCATCTTGCTATCCAGCATCAACTCTTCTTCCTGAGCCACCTGCAAAGCTTCCCTCCTCGCCCTCTCCTCCTCCGTAACCACCGGCGTAGCAACGCGCTCCCTCCGCGCAATAACATTTCCACACCACTTGATAGCCTCATTCCAAGCCCCCTGCATCTCCATATCATCGATCAGCACCCCGCGCCCCTTCTCTTCTCCCTTCCCATCAACACCCTTGATCAACTCCGGCAACCCTGCAACGACCAAATCCCTAAAGAACCACCAGCTGGGCAGGAAGTTCAACTTAGCCAGCGCGGCCAACTTGAGGGGCGAGAACATGGCGCTGTACTGGCAGGCGCGCTGGAGCATGACGACGTGTTTGAACGCGATTTGCCACATTGTGTGAGCTATATTGTCGATGTGAGTGGATGTTATGGGGGTGGAGAGGTTGGATGGGAGGAGCGTTGGCTGGGTTTGGAGGACGTGGCGGAGGAGGTTCTTCATCAGCTGGGAGGACTGAGCTGATTGGGCAGCGGTGGCAGACAGTGGCGCGGGTGGCTGTTGCGTGGTGAGTGTAGTGGAAGTGGACTTTCCCGGCGATGTGACTGCGGCGTAATGACAGATCTGGGATGGTATTAGCATGTAGTCACCTAGGTATTCCGTGTCATGTACTTCGTTCTTCACCTCCTCGATCTTCTGCTTCTTCGGCAGGGACTCGTCTCTGGTCTCTGCCTGAGCAGTACGCTTGTCCGCTCCTAAGGACTTGATCTGGACATCAGCCATCTTCGGTGAAATTCCCTACATTATTGTCAGTCTCGCTCCTGAGAACATCCCTGGCGGCACGCCAACCTAGGGAAAAACTGAACAGCCTGGAGCCTACGTTGATGTTGGATCCCCTACTTGGCAAGGTTTTAGGTCAACGTAGTCTGCAGACCTGTTCAATTTTTTTCTTGAATGAGGTGGCGGTTCATCTCACCTCGGCCTTGATCTTCCTCTTATTGTCCACCATAACCGTCGGCTTCACAGCAGAGATTTTACGCTGCTGCTGAACAACAACCTTCGGCGAGCTTTGCGCATTCGAGCTTTTGCGCTGCTGCTGGGACTTTGCGGGGACTTTGGGGCCTGGTGTGGGAGTGACGGGGCTCTGTCATCGTTAGTATCCTGCTTGTGGTTGTTCATGCTATGAAAACTCAACTCACTTTCCTCGCTGTAGGGGCCTTTGGGTTGATAGCCGTAGTGATACCGGGCATCTTTTCGGCACGATGATGTTTTAGTCGGAGAGAATGTTAGGAAACTTGGTAAAACGCGTAGAGGATGTGAGAGATTGGCGTGATAAGCGTGTTGTTTGCGAGAGACAGTTTGAACAAGAAAGGCAAGGTGAAATAGTGTGATGTCAAGCGTGGAAACGCGTGGTGAACGTGAGGGTGAGTGCGGACTAGTAAGACAAGCCAGGGTGGGTGCCCACAAAGGGACGAGACGTGAAGCAGCCTTGACGTCGTAATGGCCTCAAAGAGGGGCTAAACTGTTTGGTCGACGTTGTTCCCGGTACCTAAAGGCGACCATCAGGTGTCGAGGTGAGAGAGGCAAACGTTCACCTGGGAAGACGGCACTAGCTTGCGATTACGATACATCATGACATCTCGCTGTCGCGTAGTTCAAACGAGGAATGTAATACGAAGACATGTAAAAGGGACTCTTTGAAAATATTAGCAAGGGCAGAATCGAATACTGCGAAAGACAACGCAGCTGAGCTGGCAAAGTAGATCCTGCTCAAAGCTCCAAGGACTGTGCTATCCAATTGCTGTGGTATATGATTCCGAGAACGCCACCCTTTTCTCGCCGTATGCAAGAGCTTCCCATGCCAACCCAGAGGCCTTGTCAGCAAAACTAAGCCCGCCCACGTGCCCTTGTTGCGCGTGCTTTGGGCTTTGCTTTTGACTTCTTTGGTGGAGGTGCCTCTTCTTCCTCATCCTCAGAGTCACCAATATCCTCCTCCTCGTCGAGATCCATCTCCTCATCCTCACTCTCTTCCTTAGCCTTCTTTTTTGAACCACTATTCTTCTTCTGCTTCTTGCGATTGGCCTCAAAAGCCTCTTCTGACGGCTCCTCCATGGGCGTCGAGCGCTTTGAGCCTCGTGACTTGGGCGCGTACTTCGCCTCCAGCGAATCGAAGAAGTTGCCTGCTCGTGACTTCTGGCGCTGTTGGATAAGAGCGGCTAGGCCTGCCATGTCGTCTGTGCCGCTCTTCTTGCCTTTCGGCTTCGCCTTGGCTTTAGCCTTGCCGTTTGTGGCTCCCGACTCTTCTTTCTGGGCCTGCTTCTTGTCGAAGTCTTCACGCCTCTTCTTTTCAGCGTCCTTGGCTTTTTGACGCGTCTCGTCTGTCTCCGCTTCGTATACAGGATACGAGCTGACTGTGCCGTTCTCAATCTCCTCGTTTAGGATCTTCCTGAACCGGTCGTCGTCCTCGAGGATGTCGGACAGCATGACCAGATCGTACACCTTGTTCAAGTTACCCTTGACCTTCTTGAACGCTTTGACCAAATCGCGACGCTCCTCCTCGCTGCCCTTGTATTCGTTCGCCACGTTGTTGATAGCCTCCTCATTGACGACGTTCTCGAATTGCTCGCGGTAGAACTTCAGCCAGTCAAAGTCATCGTCGTCCTCCATTGTCTCGGCTGTGCTGCCAGTAAGGTCGTAGCGCCTGCGTCGGCGATCGTCGGAGAGTACGGCGTAGGCGAATGCGATCTCTTGGAACGCCTTGTTGGCGGCTTCCTTCTCGTCGGGTGCAGCCTTGTCTGGTCATGGTTCAGCGATGCAACACCCAATGTGTACTAAGGGCACAAACCTGGATGGCATTTGAGCGCCATTTTTCGGTATGCCTTCTTCACATCGTCGGCAGTGGCTTCTGTCTCGAGTCCAAGAACCTCATACGGGTTGATGCTGGGAGGGCCATCTTCTTCGTCCATGTCGTTCTCGCCTTCGCTCTCATTGTTGTTTACAAAGTCATCCTCCGCAGATTCCTCAGGCGACGGCTCTTTTCTCTGTCTTCGTGCCATGTTGTAGTTGTGTTATGGATATGGAGGTTGTATGACTACCGACGGTCGACGCCTGCGTGAGAACGCGACGCGACCGTGAGTCCGGACTTAACGGAGTTGGCGCCTCGACCCACTTTTCCCCAATCACCACCGCCCAGAACGCCAATTACATCACCTTCACTTTCCTCCCTCACCAACATGCAAGTCGACTACGACACAGGTCCCGTGCGAACATGGGACGGCCCGGTACCCCCAGCCGCAGGTTCAGATCCCAACGACCACCTCCAATACATGCGCCTGGCCCTTGATCAAGCCCAAGAATCACCGCCGAAACCTTCAAATTTCCGCGTTGGCGCCCTGTTAGTCGATGCAGATACCGGGAACATTATTTCGCGCGGCTACACTCTAGAATGCGAAGGGAATACGCATGCGGAGCAATGCTGTCTTTTGAAGCTTGCTCAAGCACACGGCTTGCCTGAAGAGAGGGTCGGCGAAGCATTACCACCCAACACCGTCATCTACACTACCATGGAGCCTTGTAATCTTCGGCTTAGTGGTAACCTTCCATGCGCGGATCGGCTCATTCGAACGAGAGGGAAGGATGGAGAGCAAAAGATCAAGAAGGTGTATCTTGGCGTCAAAGAGCCGGAGAAATTTGTAGGCGAGAATGCGGGACGGAAAAAGCTAGAGGAACATGGCATTGAGTGCGTTCATGTTCCGGGGCTGGAAGAAAAAATATTGAGTGTTGCCACCGCGGGTCATGAACAGTAACTTTCTGATATGGAAATGATATGGAAGACGTATAGAATCTAATGCACGGAAAGGAGCGTTCAAGGCGCAATCTATGCTCCATTGACTTTAGCTGCTGTTCTGCATCTCCATATCCGCATAGATGTATCGCTCTTCTGATCTCAAAACCTCCAGCTCGATATCCTCCGCCTGCGTCCACTTCCACCGATCGTTTGCCTTCCGTCTGCCGGTAATCCTCATCTTCAGCCCCAGTTCGTACTTGAATCGCTTCCATCTGGTCTTGCGAATCTCTGATGATTTGACCCCACTTCCTGGCCGAGCTTCTGTCTTCTTAGGAGATTCCTGTTGCGTCGCGCTTACAGATGCCTCCTGTGCTGCCTCCATAGTCTGCTGGTCCGCCGCGTCGTATTCGATAGCCATAGGACTGACAGCCAGTAGTGCAATGAACAGAGATGCAAATCGGCTTTCTCGCTTTGTGACTGTCTTTGGTGACGACGGGTCCGTAGCCGTTCCCTTGCTTGAGGTAATTGGCACGTCGTCAAACGGAGCGCTCTGTCCCGAAGTCTGATCCATCCAGTTCTGTGGCCTCGAGGTAACGGGTGACTCCAGGGCGCTAGTCCTGCAGTTTTGCAGTCCTATTTGTGCCGAGATATGTCGACTTTCAAGATTTGCGGCTATCGAAGGCCCGCCAGCGACTTCAGGTGCTCGTCTGAGAAGTAACGTCATCTCTCTCTTTGTCCACAGGAGTAGGATCCCTAATAAAAATAGGTAGATGGGTAAGAAACGAACAACGAACAGACGTGGTAATAAGACGTTGAATCAATAGAAACTCAAGATGAACGAAGACGAAAGTGCACACTGGCGGATAGTTTTCGTGCCTCACCAACCTATGCCATGCTCACCGACTTTGCGTACCTGGGTAGTCGCCCATCTCATAAGTCTTTCTAGAAGGAGACTACCTTTCGTGAAGTGTTCCACCAGCTGTCGGGTCAAATGTTATTGGGACAAAGGTTTCCCATTTCTTGGAAGGCGCGGATGAGGATCCCTGTCAACAATGACCCGAAGTATTCATCCTGGTGGCAAGCACGGAGCAGCTTTAGTATACAGACGGGCGACGTTGAGGCCCATCTAGATAACGCATGAGGTCCTCATCTATGAGAAACCTTTGATGTGATAGGCTAGGCGACTTTGGCTGTTCTTGACGCCTTGGAGACCCCAAACTCGGTTCGGGATAGAGAGTAAATCCAACCCCAGGAGCTTCTGCTGAGTTGTACCCTCTAGTACCTGATATGTACGCATGTTGGCCTCACTGATGGCGCACTTAGAGGGGGCATAGACGATTTCGAGGTTGGTAGGAAGTTCAGACGGCTCGTGGTAATAGTCCAGGCACCGGCAATCGACGGTTTTCGACAAATTACCCGATTCGGATTGTGCCAAGCAGCCCGCAACACCAACCATCTCCTCTGCTGAAATGGTTTCTGACTATCAAGCAGCAAATACACGGAGTTCAACATCGACATTTACGTTCACAACCGGCTCTCGGGACAACCCAGCCCCTACCCCGCTACCTAAGTAAGGGCTCGCGTACCTCGACCCCCGACGCGCGAAGGGATCGCCCGCGAATCTCACCTAGGACCACCATTGCGTCATGACTTATTCGCATCGACCAAAATGCCATCCCCTCCATCGATCACCACGCGAATTGCGTAACCCTGACCGTTTTGTACCACCTTTCTCATGATGACGCGTGCCAAAATCATGCAATTGGATAAAGCCTAGAATAACAAAACGCCTCGTGGGCAAGTACATAGCCACCGAATACATTACCTATAATAACCCGTCCATCTAATACCCTCTTACAAAACTTCTTACAATGACATCTTACCTCCGCCCATTTGCTACACAAACTTACAATCAAACACTGCGTACTTTTAGCAAACCAGCCTTCTCATCCCAGGTATCCAGAATCACAACCGCCAAAATGTCAACAAACCCCTCAAACCTCAAAATCGAGACCAAGAACGTCCAAACCGCCCCCGGCGTCACTCTCTCAGAGCAACAAAACACCATCGTAGGCTCCGTCCTCGACCTCTTCGCCGGCCGCCCCTCGCTCCCCAAACTGCAACTCTGGCGTGACGACGCCACCTTCACGGACCCCATTACCATTGCCGAGGGCCGCGAGAAGTACTCTGCGCAATGGTACGGACTGCAGAGTGCGTTTAGTGAGATTGAGAGACTCAACCACCAGGTTAAGGATGCGGGGAACCCGATTTTGATGGACCTGAGGACAAGATATGTGATCAAGGGGTTGAATAAGGAGCAGTTGATTCAGAGTGTTGTTGCTATTCATTTGGATGAGCAGGGTAAGATTAAGAAGGTCGAGGATAAGTGGGATGGCAAGTTGCCGGATAGCAGCATTGCGAACGTAAGTTACACACATGTCTTGCTTAAACTGTGTAGCATGCTAATGATCTGTACAGGCTTTCCGACACTTGAACGCTGTCACCGTACCCAAGTTCGTCGGTGTACCGAAGAACGACGAGGAGGACGCGAAGAGGGGAAACCAGTAGTTTCATCGTTATGTATTGAACAATCTAGCGCCGCGTACATTATCGTACTGCGTAAACTCGTAATTCGTAAAATCATTACAACATCTATCGTCTCTCACAACGCGCCGTTGAACATCCTTCCGAGCGCTATATGCAGGAACAGCGCGACTGCGCCGGCGCCTACACCTAGCACTCTCAGACTCGGTGCTCCCGCAACGATCAATATTGTGCCGCATCCTCCTTGTTCCGCTCTCGGTAGATCAGGCCCGTCCATTGTGATTGTAGCGCAGAAGCCGCCTTGTACCTGGTCCGGGTTGTGGTATACGGTGGTTTGAGGAGGTGGTTGAGCGTACACGACAGCCGTTTGCTGCTGGGGGTATACGGTTACGGTCGTGACTTGTGCGACGTTTACTGCGCCTCCGCATTGGTTTCCGCTTGGGCAGCAGCCGATCAATCCGTTGGAGTTGCCAGGTACGGCGCATGTGTAGCCTGATGGACAGCACCTGGGTTTGATCAGCAAGAGCCATGCCATCTCTCAAAATTCCTACTCACCAACTTGGTTGGTTGACGTTGCTGCAGCTTACTGAAGCTGACGACGGACACCAATTTGCGTCTTGCGCTACGACTTGCTGGCCGTCTGGGTTTACAATGTACACAGCGCCAGAGAACGGCGCATTGTTCGAGATCTGCTGTGGTATAGCTTCAGGCTTTGCGATCGGTTCCGCGACACATAATGTCAATGTCGCAGCGACGAGGCTCCATGGCGCAAATGATCTCATCGCGTTGAAAGTCGCCGAGGCTGTCAGAGGAAGAAGCCGGGTAGTAGAACGAAAGTCTGCGACAACGAGCGTCTAGAAACCGAAGAAAAAGCTGCGGGGTTAGTATGCGACGAAAAGGCACAGCCTCGAAAAGATGAGAGATCAAAATCAGCAGTCGTCGGGCGCATACCGGGCTGCTACCCTGCCCTTAAGTCTGACCGGAATACCTTGGAAGCTCTCAATCGAGAGCTGGGAATAGCTCTAAGCTTGCTGCAGGTTGGGCTAGCTCGTCATGGACAGCTTCATGCCGGCTTAGCGGGGAGTCGCACTATTGGTAGCCTCGACGGCACCGAGGTCTAGTTCGCGGTAAAGTGGTCCCACTTGGCTGCTTTTTGCGATAGACCAGAGTCGGGCATGATGGCAAAACGGCGGTGTTGAGGTGTGATGGGGCTACAGGTGGCCGGGTGGACCTTGTAGCATGCTTGCTGCCCATCCTGTAAACGATGCATTTGCTGGCAGCGGGGCGGAGGGTTAGAGATACAGTTTGCTAGAGTGAAGGCCTTGATATTGTTCCCTGCAATGCGATCAAGCCACAGTTCTTGGGAGCGGCTGCATCGGATGGCATCGCGTGGTGAGGTGCATGCAGATAGTGAACGCAAAGCGCCGATCTTCCGATGCGGTCGAATTGGGTTAGCTGGCTTGGCATTTGTGGCCACGTGACACCGTAGAGCGGTGGCGATGAGACGCGTCGCGTTCCTTTGCTCTCATCCCACCTTGTGCACCAGCAACACAATATGACATGTCAACGGATCCGCCACCGCGTCCTTATCGGCTATACCCCGCCTATTGTTTCAGAGCATCACCTACATACAATATCTGGGTGAAGCTCACTGCTGCAGATGTGCAAGCTCTTCGATCTGAGAAAGACTTCCAAGGTAGCAGCATTCCCGACGAGCGCTACGATTGTTGCTGACACATGAACAGCCCAGCGCATTTATTTCCATCTCAATCACCCTATCCGTTATGTCCGAATCGTCGGCGTCGTAGTAGCCATCGATGACATCAACCTCAAATACACGGCCCTCACCATCGACGACGGAAGCGGCGCCACCATCGAGCTGAAGATCGTGCGATTACCTCCCGCCGAGCCAAACCCGGTCGATACCTCCTCGGACACGAAAATCAAGAACCTGAACATCGTCAGTCGATTCGGCATCTTCGACGTTGTAGTGGACGGTGAAGCCCTAGACATCGGCACAGTCGTCAAGGCCAAATGCCTCATATCAGAGTTCAGAGGCGTAAAGCAACTGGACTTGCAGCGCATTTCAATTGTCAAAACAACCAACGAAGAAGCGCAAGCTTGGGCTGAGACCGCTGCGTTCAAGCAGGCAGTTTTGTCGCGACCATGGCGTATAACGTCAGCCGAGCACAAGAAGATCAAGCATGCAATCAAGGCGGAAAAGAAGAAAGAACAGGATAATGAGCGACTTCAGGCAGAATACAGAGTCAAGAAAGAGGAGCGACGGCTGGCGAAGGAGGCATACCTTGCGCAGAGGGAAAAGAAGCTTGAGGCGCGACGGAGGAAGGAGGAGGTCATGCTGAATAGCGGTGCGTTGATATGAGCTGAGGTTCCCACACGGGAGCCTTGTGAGTATGCCAAGTTGTTGGATGGGCGCGGGGTTTTGGTAGCGCAGCACGTGGCCTCAGCCCGGCCACTCACAAAGGTGTCTCTGTCCCATCGTGTCTTCCTGCCCTACACACACATATTTCACCAGCTACGGAAGCTAAGTTTGAACGCTATTACACAAGGCTATGGAAGATGCCATTGTTTCTCCACGTCGATTCAACGAGCCCTCGCACGAACCTTCCGGCGAGGCTAAAGGCCTCACCATGTCCCTTGACGCGCGATCTGCACTCCAGTACGACCGCATAACACAAGATCGCTATATTCGAGTCATCGATTTAGCTCCCGGTACCTGGGACGAGCCTGTTACTTGTTCTTTGAGGGCGGTCCATCTGGACGATGACGACCTTCGCTACGAAGCAATTTCATATGCCTGGGGCGACCCCACCGATCGCAAAACCATCATGTGCAATGGGTGCGACGTCAGTGTAACACGCAGCCTTTTCGAGGCTTTGCAACGCTTCCGCTACACCTTTACCATACGGACGCTTTGGGCCGATGCGCTATGCATAAATCAGGCCGATAACAACGAAAGAACCTCGCAGGTGCGGCTGATGAGGTTCATCTACACAAGAGCTGCTCGGGTGCTTGTGTGGTTAGAGCATGACAACGATCAAGTAGTCCAAGATGCTTTGAACGCTATATGTCGATATGTAGTTCGATCAGATGGCTTCGCCGACTTTCCCCAACTCCGCATGCAGGAACAGAGCTCGCAGATACTCTATAAATGGCGTGGTGTGCCTGTAACGAGCGTCAGCGAGGACGATTCACCAGATATCACTCTTGCTGCGATCAACGCTTTGCGTCATGTATGCTCCTCATCCTGGTTTAGGCGCGGATGGGTCATTCAAGAGGTGGCATTAGGCACCTCGGCGTCGGTCCATCGAGGGCACGCTGAGATTGGCTTGGAATGGCTAGGAATTGCGATTCGATGTTGCATTACATCGCCTTCAGTGTCCATGTGGGGTTTTAGTTTCGGCATGATGCAGTGCTACTACCTCTTCGAAATGAGTCCGTCGCTCAATAACTTCGGAGCTCCTCAGAAGTCCTGGTTCGCTCTGCTTCACGCAACCATGGGAGTTTTTTTCAGTGAACCAAAAGACAGAATCTATGGCCTGCTTGGACTGAAGACGGTTGATTACAATCCTCCGGATGGCCGGTTATTGGTAGATCCAGATTATAATATTACGACCGCGGAATGCTATCGCAGAGTCGCAGGTAGACTACTCTCAGGGCCTTACGATCTCAGAGTGCTTTCTTGGGCGGGGCGGCCTTCTATACTCGTCAAGGATTTGCCATCGTGGGTGCCGGATTGGAGCGGGTCCCGAATCACTTTATTTGGGGACGTGCCTGATCCAACTTGGCTCACACTGGAGAAACCAGGTCTCCCTGATATATCTGAAACAGTGAAAGGTGATGCGAGCTGTATTCAGATCGCTGGTTTCAGGGTTGATACTGTAGACCGGCAAGTCGAAGAATTTGTGGACCTGGGAGATCTTGAGAAGGATCCTCACGGACCTGCACGCCTTCAAGCCGTATTCCGCTCTTTGGATCAAGTATACGGTCAACGATGCCTTGCCTGCACAGTTGGAAACGAGTCCAAATATCGATCTCTATGCTCTGTCCGTGTTGCGAATCGTGTAAGCGAATACCACACGTTCATGACTAGGGATTTTACTCAAAACGTATACCAGCCTCTGGCGACGCTACGATTCGTAGACGATTCTGTCTCCACATACATACCAAGTGCGGATAGGTTCTTCCGCCGATGCCTTTTTGATCATCCTGGCCACACCCTCTTCATCACTAGCACAGGAATTCTAGGTCTCGGGCCCGAAGCTGTGCTCCCAGGCGATGTTGTCGTCGTACTACACGGCACCCCCATACCTTTCGTCCTCAGACCTGCGGGCGATGGCCTCTGGAGACTGGTAGGAGAATGCTATGTTTACGACGTCAACGAGGGTCGCATTCATAGAGAATGGGAAGAGAAAGGCAGCGTATCGGAAAAGTTCTGCATTTACTAGGCCGCCGGCACCGGACGCAACTACTACTACGCCTGACAAACGCTCCATCGACCTCATTCTCCGAGTATGCAGACTATGCTCCTTCCATAAAGTGGGCATCTGGTGGCGATAGTCCGGGCATGGTCTTCGCTACTACAAAATCGCCCACATGGAGCAATCGCAGGCCTCTTCAATCGCATCGGCAACGCCCAACGCAGCTCGTTAAGTTCAGTACGAGGGCTCCAAACATCATCGCGCGATTAGAAATTTTCACGGTCTCCGAACGCGTTGATTGAGCTGTGACGTGGGAGGCTCTGGACGATGAGACGGGAGTGAGTTGCTACATGGTTTACCACAAGGACTTTCGAGGCCGAGGTTAATGATAACGGTGGTGATCATCTTTCCTACACCGAGCACACTTTCGCAAAGATTTGTTGCTTGCGAGGTCTCGTCCAGCGACAATCCTCCGAGAGGGCTGTACGCAGTTCAATCACAGCCGAGTCTCGACGTCGACCACCACGAAGACTCGGACCTTCCAACGCACTGCGCTGCAGTTCCAATATCTATCACATCCCCAGATCTGCCGCCCCAAAGGACGCTGTCTCGGCTATATTACCAATGCAGTGCCGTGCTTGTCCGTATTTGGAAGTCTGCTAGGCTACTCGTCACCTTCATTGTGACCGCGGAGGTCAGTGCGGGCTTTCGTACATAACCTGTTCTGTCATTAATGCCTGATATTTACCCCATTGCTGTTGACTATACGACCCCTCGATCCTGATTACTAGGCGCCCCCTTTTCCGGCATATACGCACTCAAAAGGCCTACAACTACATTCCCACTACTACTCCCGCACTCATACACTTCCCAAGGGCTCGACGGCGACAGCCAGATTACACACTCTACCTTTTGTCGCCCAACCGCTCGACCAGCAGACTACTAATCCGGCTACTTCTTCTTCGTCTCACCGTTCCACCATACAAGACCATTCTAGCACATCACGACTCACTCCATCGACTACATGTACGGTTTCAGCGACACCATCGACGACAAACTCATCGGTCGCATTTACCGTCTTCGCCATGACCCGAGTCGCATGTTCTCCGTTTGCCTATCGCCCCCTCCGTCCTCAAAGTTGTACCTTACCTCGGATCAATACAAGTGGAAAATGAGGGTACTGCCACCGCAGAGGAACGATCAAATGCTCCTAGTCATCAAAAATACGGTCGCCGAGCTTAATAAGCAACAAATGCTCTTTTGGCGCATTGGTCTACAAGTGTCACACTTGACGATGAGCCCTCCCCTATGGCCCCGCCATTTAGAGGAGTACTCGACTAAGCTGTACGCTTTCAAGGAGAAGGATCAAGAGTTTCCGATGGCAGTTGAGACAACACTATCTAGAGGCTGTCGCGTTTTGACCGCGGATACCATTCTGGTACGCGAGAAAGATGACATGAACGGACCCAAACGCGGCATGCCGCTAAAGACATGGCTTCTCTCGCTGGTCAATAGTAGCAATCGTCTGGGTGAAGCTGGGTGGCAGCTCCAGCGGGGATGGTGGGCTTCGAACGGTCAGAACTTCCTCATCATGACGTTGCCAGCCGAAATACGCTGCGAGATTCTCCGGCAAATCTTGGGTGGCAATATCTATCCTGTTGCCAGAGAAAATCCGAATGTGTCAGGACCTGTAGTATTTCTGGGAGCCAAGAGCGGGAATATGCCTGTATCTCATTGGCCTGAAGTCCCACCGGCTTCCCGGCCAGATCCACCCAACTATGCCATCCTTCGAGCCAGCAAACAGATCTACAATGAGGCCCTGAAAGCGGCGTGGGAGGGTACAACAAAGCACTTTGCAGATGGACTTTGGCTGGAGAAAGTGCTGGAAGCACCAATTGCCCCATCTAACCATCGCTGGCTCACTCATATCCAACTCTCCATGAGTACAAAAGAATGCTTCCGATTTTTCGGGATTGACATTCACCCCGTCCTTCGGTTGCCGCCGCTTGTACCAAAAGCTCGTTTGCTGCAAGGAATCGCTACCCTTAATAACCTCGAAATCGTATTTGGATCACCATACGTCCCCTATTCAAACCCTTGGTTTTCTTTTCCCAATCGCCCGCCAACCATAATGAAGTATCCGTGTCATAAGATCATGGTCGAGTGGGCGCTGATCTTCGCCTTTCCATACCTCAAGCACATCCCGAATGTTCGGCTCGCAGGCTGTATCAAGACCTGCACAAAATCGAAATGGGAACATATCCTAAGCAATGAGTACTACTTGCGGAAAGAGAGCTTCAAGACTCACAGATACGACCCTGCTATGGAGGCTTATGAGCTGTTAGAAGAACAGCGCCCTATGCACCGGCAAGTCTGAATTCGACTGGTTTCTGATGCTCCTTGGACTGACCGACTGTGATAGGCCACCGATATGCTTGTGCCCCGCTCCTTGCTCACTGGGACACCGTCCGACAGGTCTGAAAGGCTTTGACTATGACGACTCATACGTGCCGCCTCCACCACGGAGACCGCCGCCGCCACCGCCGCCGCCGAAGAAGAGTGCGCCAGTTCGGCCGGGCCAACTTTGGTCAAAGGTTCACGTGGTATGTCTACGAGCTCTTCCGTGAGAACAAGCTTTACTGATGTCGTTGTAGACCGATCAAGACGTGCGGGACGACTGATCTCGTATCTCACTAGCCTGTTGTATTAATGGAGCGGCAGCATAGCGTAACATGAATTGGGTGGATCTTCACGTTGCACTATCTCACATACGGTCGGACAATTTATGTTTCTCTCGGTATCTTGTTGGTGGCCTGTGTCCTTAAACGCAGGCTAGGAAGCAGACGGTGTGGTGGATTGGAACGGAGGCATTGGTAAGATCTATCGCTCAAGACACGGCGCATGCAGAAGCGCACAAGGCGTCCTTTATCAACCTGAGACTCCATTCATCTATCCAGGCTTGATTGTCGCATATCCTTTCCAGTCTCAGACTGAGGGTGTTCGGGCTGGAATTTGTAACATGGTCGGTCTAGACATCGACAACGGTTCTCGATGGCTTCAAAGATATTTCTCTGCACATCGCACATCACAAGGGTTTTACGTACATGCGAGCCTTGATCACCCAAAACATTTCTTTAGAACACGAGTTCTGCCTGTTACAAGATTGCTTTCCTTGGCCGAAGCAATCTGCCAGTCTCATGTGACCATCAATCGAAGCTGGGAGTGACTAGCTATAGCAAACATGGGTAGCCTTAAGAGCAGCGTAAATCTGCGCGATCTGAAACCACAAAACGTCTTCATTCAAGAACACCATGAGCGAAAGAGCCGAGAGACTGACGACAAAGCTGAAGAAAGAGTTTGGCAGTATACCAGAATGGGAAGCTGAGTTCACACAGAGCTGTCTCCAAGCAGGCGATTCGGACTGGGACATTACTCGGAAGTATCATCTAACAGTGCACGACTACAACAAGAACCGTCCGCTTGCTCGCGTGCTACATCGCATGTGCAAAGAAGAAATCGGAGAATGTCAAGAAATTACGGAGGAAATGATCTGGAAGTGGTTCGCGTTGGACAACTGGACTGATCTCCAAGTAAAAGCGAAATACCGACAGGAGTTCGATAAGGCGCAACCCGAAGTACGTCGAGCGAAGAAACTATTGGCCGAGATGAGACGCGATCTAGGAGACTGCCATTTGGTCGGCGATACACACGTACGCGAATGGATGAAGCATGATTTGAGAGAGGATCACATCAGACGTAAATATGAGGATTACATGAGGGAGGCTCGGTTGGCGAATCGAGCAGCGGTCTTAAGGTATCGTCTAGAAGATGAGGTGCCTGGCAATTTTGCCGTATCAGATGCTGAGTTACTGGAGAGGTGTCGTGACAATCCAGACGACAACGCCCTTGCGGACGCCTATTCGTTCAAATTCGACACTGATCAGGGTGGAACTGTAGGAGAAGATGCAGGTGGTGTACAGGAGGATACTGCTGAGGAGGGTAAATCAGAGTAGTCGGAAGACCTGAAAGAGCATCAGTAGCAGCTAGACAACCTTTTAGCGGAGTGAATATCGCAAAATCATGGCTGTATCTGATCAAAACTCTTTAGCTAGACCTTGATCGGGCTAGCGCGCCACGCCCATTGCTGCGATACAGAACCTCTAGAAGATACAGTCTATCGCCTGTCTGACAGTCTTGTAACATCGCCCTTACATTGCAGGACAGCGCGCTGCTTTGAAAGACGGTACGCATACTAACGTCTCCTACTCTCCGTCAATATTTGGCCTCAAAACCACCCTGCAACTCGCTCTCAGTTCTCTTTCTCAAAGTACCACACCGCAAATAGCGCACCATGGCCGACAATGGCAGCCCTCCAGATGAACCAGCGGTCACGCGTGTTGCGCTAGGAGACTGGAGCAGGGATGAATGCCTATACATCCAACTGCATAGCGAACTGCTCCTTGCCGTCGCGCACCTACCCGCCGCACCTTTTCATTCGATCAACGACATTTCTCAGTATGTTGGCTACTGTCAGTACTTCGCTCTTCCGGACGCCGCGACTAGTGACCCTCAAGAAGAGACAGGCAGCGGAGTGGTAAAAAGTATCAACACCTTCACCGCCAAGCGGGACGAGCTATCTGGATGGGTTATGTGGGCTCTTCAAGCCACGAAGGTAAAAGCTACCTTCGACAAGAAGTTCCACCACGTCAAAGTGTCACCGGTCATGCTTCGGGAGTACCGCGAGATACGCGAGCGAATTGGCTTCGATACATACATATACAACCCAAAGTTGTACCCCGCGCTTTGGTCGTTCCTCGAAGACGCTGCTCGGAACCAGTTTCCGGAGTACCAAGGAGACGTCACTCAGGCCGAGCACACACGAGATGTCGACAACGATGGTAGCGCCCACTCCGTGACCAAATCCGGACCTGTCAACGACCAGGCGAACACATCAGACCAGGAACTGATGGACGAGGACGACATATCTGCCGCGGGCGACGACGTGAACTCCGGAGCGACCGATGAGGAAGAACATGCAGAGCCTGGAGACTTCGCGCAGGGTCAGGTCCGCGCTAGATGTACAGGCACCAACAATGACGGAACAGCCTGTCAGCGAAGAAGTCTAGATATTGAAGAGAAGGATTGTGCGAGTTGGCGATGCCATCTCCATGATCCGGAGAAGAAGAAGATCACAGCCGCTGCTCGCGCGGCAAGGAATGCAGCGAAAAAGGCAGCTGCGGCATCAGAGCCCAAGAAGCAGAAGGGTGGTAACAAGGGAGGAGAGGGAGAAGATGCGAACGCAGGCGGAAAACGCGTTCGGAAGGCTGCGGCAGTGGCTGGAGAAGGAGCAGGTCGGGCACCGAAGAAGCGCTCAAAGTAAGCGCCATCATATCAAGAATGATACATCCACATATATCGGTAGATCGGACCTCGAAGTCGCTTCATACACATCGATAAAAGAGAGTTTGGGGAGGGCGAATATGACGGGAGGACATAACCGGCAGGGAAGATCTTGGCGGCGTATCAAGCCTGTCGTAAGGTGCAATGGAGATGAGAATAGGGAGGCATTCATAGTGCATTTTGGAGTATTACGAGAGCATTTCGGTTCGTCGTGTCGACCGGCTTGCGGTTCCAGTAGCAGGCCCTGTGTGACAATCGGATGAGTGAATGAAATGTCTGCAATTCAGCCTTCCTGTAAAATCACCTGTGGCTTTATGGCAGTGTCGTCAGCCGTTGGAAGAGCGGTTTGTTAAAGCGGCGAGCGATGCATGAAGAGATGCGCGGGTGTGGGCGTGGGCGAAGGCTGGTGAGGAAATGAGGACAAGTTTGCAGCACGCTATGACATCATCACTATTCAATGTTTCTGACGCGTCCGCGACGCGACAGCAACTCCGATCCCACCCTCCAACAGCACCAGCGCAGGCCCGAGATGGCATTCCCGCCGCCTCTCCATTTTCTCTTCTTTGCCATCTCGGTCTCCTTGATCGTATCTTTAGTACCCATTCAAGCTTTCCACTCCTCTCGAAAACATTCCCGTCTCGACTCTCCTTTCGAAGCCCCGTAGTACCTCGCCTTCGTATGGTACTGGCCAGACAAAGCCTCGTGAATACGGACGCCTGTAGAGTTTCCCTTGGCATGTACATGACGACTTCCCTGCAAGATGACCGTTTCGGGATCCTCGTAGTGATCTTCCGCAAGCTTGGACTCATGATCCAGGCCAGCACGACTTCTTTGTAGCAGTAGCCCTGCAATGAACTCGTGGTACTTCGTATCTTGGACATTATGCATGCGATCCATAAGTTTTCGATCCATATACCAGGTCTTCTTGCGCACCGCAGTACCGGCTTGCAGGGAAATGCTACCAATCCGTTCCCAATATTTGGTCGTCCTATGTGCAAGAAGTGACACGGGTTGTGTATCCGTATACTCTACCAGATTAACATATCCGAGGCAGTCACTTTTGATAGCCATTGCTATGCAGAAGTTCGCAAGTTCTTGTCCGCCATCAGAAAGGATCCGTTCCAGCTTCTCCAAAGCATTGTCGCCTTTGAGACCTTCACCAGAGCGCGCAAATGCTGAGCTTTCTTTAGCGGTGACTTCGATGTTGACTTTGTTGATAGTGGTCTTGCGGTTGGTGCGTCCATACCTATACATGACTGCGTGAATAGCATCATCCAGCAGGCGACCGACTTTCGAACGATCCTTATAGGTCATGACCCATCCCCAGGGCCACAAGTCGTTTAACTCAAACAAGATATCGAATCTGTCGAGGTTGGTGGCATCGGCAACGGGTGTGTCAACCCATCGCAGGCGAGGCTCCAGACGTAAACCATGTTCGCGAGTTTCCGTCCTATGAATAACGATTCGGAGCGCATATCGCAACCCCACGCGCAGCGAACCTGAGCGCTGGAGAACCTCGACACGGAGTTGACGTGAGGCCTGACACAGGCCAGCAGCGTGGTGCTTGACGGGGCGAGGAAAGGCAGACGACCGAGGTTGATAGAGTTCAAGTGGCTCATAAATGTCGAATTCGGATACATCCACAGGCTGCGGGTTCTGCGTAAGTAGCAGTAAATCGATGATCTCATCACGAAGCTCTCGGGGTAGGGTGAGTAAGGAAGCCATGGCTGCACAGTCTGACCGAAGATGGGGCCAGCACTACATTTATAGAGAGTCGAAGATGCGGAATTTTGGAATTCAGGCTGCTTCATTGGAGTACCAAGAGTTGCAATGCTAACGATGACTCGTAGGTAGCAGTCCCTAGCGAGCCACTCACAGCCATCGCATTTCAGACGCAACCAATATACGAAGAGCTCAAAGAGACATCCAGGGCTTTTTTTCGCAAGGGTCGGCTTCAGTGTGTGGCACTGTGGGGCGAAGTTACCATGGTACCGCCAAAGTCTTCTTAAGCCTCTATCTTTTCCGAAGTTTTCTCCCACGTCCCCCCAAAAATATATCGATTAAACGCAAATTTCATTACGGACAACATAATTGTACGACAACCTCTTATCCATGCCTTCACTTACCAGAGCCATGGCAGACCGCAGATGGAAGTGCGTCTCAGCCAGTCGCTACGCCGTGCAAGTCTCGCTTTGCATGTTTGCAGTCTACCTCTCCACCCTCATCGCGCAGACGTCTACTCCCACAGTCATGATTTGGGGTAGCGCGCCATACATCGGCCTCTTTGTCGCTTTCGGAACACGATTTGGCCCAGCCGATATGACTGCGTCCCAAACATACTGCGTCATCACTACAGTCATACTTTTGTACCTCGACAAAGCTACGACCGCTATTGGCAAGACTGCCGAACCAAACTTCGAAGAGACTGGAATTCAGCACCGCGCTGTACACTTTGCGCTTGCCTTCTTCGTCCTTTCGGAGCTGGAATACCACCGACAATACTACGCTACCAAAAGCTTCAAGAAATCGGATAAATCTTCGTGGCGTTCTTGGATTGCAGACTGCGATCGTACGTTTAATGTCTCGAGACATCAGAGTGTATATTGGCATTTGGGATCTGTCAACGAAGGAAACAACAAGGGGTCTGAAGAATCATTCGTATCAACGGTGTACTACATCCTACGTGTGCTCCTCCTCGACAGTCTACCCTTTCACTTAGTCGGTGGATGCTTTAATTACGCGATCAACAGCACGGTGAATCCGACCCCTGCAAATGGTCGCCTGGCCATGCAAATGTTCGGAAACTTCAATGTCTTCTTCAATACAAAGACTATATGGGGTGTCTACTTGAACCTCTGGGTACTGTCCAGGGTCGTACGACAAGCCAATTTCATCACTGTTTGGGGCATCTTCCGAGTGTCATCTGATGCTCTTGACTGGTGGACAAGCAAGCGAGTAACTGCGTGTCAAGAGCATTACGAGAAGTTGCAGGGCGATCAACGACTTTTATGAGCAAGTTCAGAGCATTTTCGGGATAGTGTAGCAGTAAAACAAATTCATTTGAGTCTAATTGCTACATCTTTTACTGCAACAACATCGCCATAACATCAGCAGGCGTCCTCTTCGGCGCTGCGATCTCCAGCACCTCCTTGCTTGTCGTTTCCGCCTTCGCCTCGCCATTCCACGCCGATTGCGGAGCACGCTTGATAGAACCTATCACGTTCTTTGCCTGGTTCGACGCAGCAACCATGTCTTCTACGAACGATAGATCCTTGAACTTGACGTCCTCAACCTTGGCGCCGATATGCTTCTCAACCATTGCTACAACTTCGTCGCCGGTGATGTCCTCCGGGCCATTGAGCACATACCTGCGCTTGTTGTGCGCAGAGGTGTCTTCCTGGAGTAGGAGATGCGCAGCAAATACACCAACGTCATGTGGGTCAATGACGCCGACCGGCCCATCAGCGCTCGCCATCGTGCGCAATGTGTGTTGTTTCCCGCCGTTGCGAACAGCCTTGATCAGCTCAGCAGCGGGCATAAGCCAGAAGGTCGTGAACACATTTGGCTGCAGCGAAGTCCAGTGCATGTTTCCGTAGGCTGGCGAGTCAAGCATAGCTTCAATGGCCCAGTGCGTACGTGGGTAGTAGGCAGGGCAGTCTGGCTTCACATTCGCGGCTGTCGTGGAGATGCGCACGACGTACTTGACGCCAGCGTCACGGGCTGCAAGGTGGAATGTCGATTCTTCGGCGAATTGGTTGGGCTCATTGTGTGAAGCTATGAATGCGCGGGCGACATTGTGTTCGCGTAGCCACTCCGCAGTGATCTCGACCCAGGTGTATTCGATGATCTCGACATGGGGGAATTTGGCGAGAGCTTTTGCTGAAGAGCTGTTCGCAGATCGTGTGATGGCGAGGATGCGATAATCGGAGAACGTCTTGCTAGATTTGATGAGGTTCGAGAGGGTCTCAACAACACTGCGGCCAGTGTTGCCTGTGGCGCCGACGACTAGGAATGAAGAAGCCATGATCAGGAAGGTGAAAATAAAGATGATTGAGTTGGAGGGCGTTGTTTCAGTGCAGGCTGATGATGCATGTTAATCAATCGAGGTATCTTCCCTTTGTACAAAGTTGCGGAGTGTCGACGACTCCGAAGTGTCACTAGCTGCGGAGTGCAACCAGCTGTTGAGAGCTGCGCGTTGCATCACGCACCCGGATTTTGTCCGAAGACTGACCAATCAGCTAAGCGCGGAGTGGAAGCCGTTAGCATGTTGTGGCGGGCGCTAGAAGAAGATGGGTACCTCGCGCGACGACCATCCAACACTGAAAAAAAGAAAACGCGGAAGCGGAACAAGCAGAACAGCAGCAATTGCGGGTTTGTTGGTTATTGAATGTTGGAACAAGCAGAAACCAAAATCGCATTAGTACTACTCCACGAGGAGATCAACGACTGCACATAACGTCCAACCCCCCAACGACACTGCGCCATCTGATGCGCACTTATATAACATAATGAAAATACAAAGGCCAACTCAGTACCCATAGGCCACCGTCTGTCCATGCATCTGGAAAGCGGTTGCTGCGCCGAAGGGATTGATGTCTCCACGGAACCTTCCACCTACTCTGCCTCTTCCTCGTCGCTATAGTTCTCGTCAACCACGATCTGACGAGTAGCATGCGTCTCTTCAATCATCATAGTCTGCTCGATTGCAGTCTGTTCGATTAGACGACCTTGAGCTGCCTCAGCTGCGGAGTCTTCGAGCGCGGCTGAGACCATCTGCTGTTCGGCGTCGTCATAGTCTTCCTCTCCCATCTCTTCGTCTTGCTCAGCATCGTCGTCTTCGAATATCACCGATGAGGAATCATCACCATCGTCATCATCGTAGGCGCCGGCCAGGACAAGAAGATCCTCTTCTTCCTCGTCAAGCTCGGGCTGCTCAGCATATGGGGGAAACACCTTGGTCTTCGACTTCTTAGCAGGCCGCTCTTGGTCTCCAGAGTCTTCCGAACCATGGCGCTTGCGAACCAGAGGGCTACCGAACGCATCTTCACTTTCCGATTCCTCCACGGCAGCCTGCGATTTCTTCTTGTTCAACGGCTTCTTCTTGGCTGGCTTCTTAGGCTTACCACCCTCGTCGTCGCCATCGTTGCCGTCGTGGGTGTTGTCGTACTCCTTTAGTAGAGCCTTGTCCGGCTTCCCAAAGGCGGCCACCAAGCGCCCCGACGCTTCGAGTGCCTTGGCTTCAGGCGAAGGGTCGCCGCGCCATCTTACATTCGGTGGGTCTTCGCCACGATCGTAGCATGGTTTGTACGATGTGTACTGGTAGCGAGTGCTCTCTACTGTCCGACCATCAGAGAGTTTCCCGAAAGGAGTGGCTTCCCTGAAGTCCTTGCCCTTGAAGCGATCGTTGTGAAGCTCAGTCAACTCCCAAATGGATGCGTCGGGATTGTCCCGCATGAGGGAAGCCAGATATTCTCGCTCGATTTCCGACCACGGTGGATCAATGGTCACGCGATCAATACCCTGGTAACGGCGGTCGTTAAGAGCCTTGACTGTTTGCTTGTCATTCCAGTCTTTTGGTACCTTGTTATAGCAGTAGATGACCGGCTCTCTCTTGTGGGATGTAGGTTCGTTCTTATCCTTCAACCGCATGTCCATGAGTGGGATGGCAAGTAGGTCTTCTTGGTTCTTATCCTGAGGGAGCTGATCAATGTTGTCCGGCTCAACCTGGAAATTGTGCTTTGTGTCGCGCGAACCGCGCTTGTACCGGAAGCCACGATTCTCCCACATGGGAGGCTCAGTCTGACCCATGCTCTCACGGGCGGAAGGCTGTTTAGGGCTGGGCCGAGGATCACCTGACACAGGCTTTACACCCCAGAACTTGCTCCATTGGTCCGTCGGAGGAATGACAATACTATGGGTGTAGGAATCGAAGCCTTCTCCGACGGGCGGCTTTTTTGGCTTGGCCTTTGGCTCCGTGGCGGCGGGTTCCTTAGGTGCTGCGGTCTTCCTGGACTTCTTGGGGGCAGCGGCTTTTGCGCCCTTCCTGGGTTTCGGGGTAGGAGCGGCTTCTTCTGATTCTGACTCGTCCTCATCTGTGGGTCCTCCTTCCTGCTCTTCGACGGGCGCGGCAGCATCAGAGGCACTGGATTCGTCTTTCGCACTCGCAGACGCCGCTTCAAAACTAACAGCCTTCTTCACTTTCCTCGGCGTTTTGGGAGTCACACTCTGCCCGAGCTTCGAATCGGCGGGCTGCTTTGACATGTCGGGATGAGTCAGTTGCGTATTGGTGTATTGGATCGAGCCAGGTGGTGGAGTAGTTGTATCGAAAGCACAGACAGGTTTCAAGAGCAATTGGATGGGGTCGCGTGTAGAGTTGTTGAGTCGGGTGGCAGAGGAGGGAGCGAAAACCTTGCTTTGCGGGGTGGGAGTGGCGCACTGGTAGAGAGTTGACGCGCGTCTGGATTGGGAAGACATAATTGCAGTGGGAGACGGGGCGCAATAAGTAGGAGGACGGGGCGCGGCCATTGTAAGGCTACGCGTGAAAGGTCGTTCTGGGGCGTGAGGAGGGCGCTTTGACATCTAGATCGCACAGTGTAGAAATACATCTTGCGCGTTTGGTGTCCTTTGAAAGTGAACCAAAGTTGTGCGCGGATCAACAAAGCCAGCAACAGTGTAAGCAAGCCCACCCGACAATGTCCCAGGCGGACAAAGGTAAAAGGGTACGACAATTTCTCCTCGCGCGCGCTCAACTAGGTCCTTCTATCGACGTCTTTCGAATGATGTGGTCATCTCGGTCGCTTCTCTTCACTATGCGGATAGTGTCCACGTAATTTGCGCGCAAGAAACCTTCTCAGCCAAGTACATGTGACTGACCTGAGAGTGCCTGACGCACAATGCCACATAGCGACGTGACCATGTGAAAGCTCATCGCTTGGCGGTGCCTGCGATACCGCCTTGCTAGGGCAACGCGAGGGAATGACCGCGCTCCGCTGCTGCACGAGGTGAATGCTGCGTACCTCTCCTGCAACCTGGGGCTTCCGATATACCACAAGCAGTCGGTTCGGTTTCTCGTTAAGAGTATGGAAGCCGGGTACCAGAGTCATTGTGTGGATCAATGAAATATATCGCAAAAGCTTGGCTGGTGAATTTCATAATCGCGCTTTCTGCTTCCTCGCGCAAGCGACCATCCTCGAACTTTACCTACGTCTCGCAGCAAAGTATTGAAGCGCGGCACCATTTCTTTGGCTCGGGACTGACTTATGAATGAAGAGTTGGTAAGGCACGCAAATGGCCGTACGATAACGGAAGTGTATATGCTGCTGCCGTGCAGGACATAAGCTTGGAAAAAGGTGAGAGTGTGAAAATGGAGGAACTTTGCATAACCACAGATTTTTGATCGTTTGTTTTGTAGCAGCGCACGCAATTGAACGGCTTGGTCTAAATGAGAAAGCTGTAGTCGGCAAATGTGACGACAGAGACAGCTGTGGACAGGAAAGGGGACGGGACGTCGGGAGGTTTGCCAATCGATAAGATAGCCCTAGCGCCTTGGCATACGTAATGACAGCTAACTCGCGATCACGACTGCTGCGAGCCTCAGCTAGTTCAATCATTGATGTTGAGGTGTATGAAAAGCCTTCACATTGATTGAGTATTTTGCGGGCTTTGCGTACATTGCGTTCACCACTATCCCACCGAACCTGACTATCACTGGACGCTCACGGCGATCGGCGGAGTTACCTGATGCCGATGCGCTCACATAGCACGTCGCGGTCATCACGTCTTCATGGGCCGGAAAGCGCAATACGCTCGCTCGAGCAGCGGATTACAACATTGAACCAGAACGGTAATCTATCTCGCGTCGCGCGATTCATAGTGAACAGTAAAGTGATTGCGACGGCGTTCCAAGAGGTATCAGAAGATGCCGCCTAGGTTGAAATTGGAATGGTAATTAGACATTATAACACTGAACACATCCAGCCAACGTTCATGCATCTTAAACGGTGCGTACACTATTAGAAACCAACATCCCAAGTCAAAATTCTCAAACTCCACTTCAGGCCATGTTGAGCTCTCCGAATGGCGTGGCGGTTAGCCAGGCCCATGCTGGGCGCAAGAGCAGAGCGGGAGGTATCAGGACCAGCCCGACGCTCGACTATAACTCCTTGATAGCCAATAAGGAGATTGCCTGCACTGAAGCACGTGTGTTAATCGTGACGAGACAGATCGACTGTGTCAACGTCATTGACCTTCCTCTCAACCAACCGCTCTTCCACCCGGGCCTCGGGTTCCCGAGCCGCGATCGATATCGACACCGCGGGACAGCCGACTAGCGGCGGCGGCTGGCGGGATCAATGGTCCATGTCATGACACGGGTCGCGGGCTGGCGGTAGCTCGGTGTGCAATCTATGCATCTGCCTTTGAGTTGAGGCTTGCCGGGCTGAGCGCATTCATGATGCGATTTCGTATAGTTGATGCTGCCTGTCGATACTTGTTCGATCCGGGAATGAGATTGTGGTGGCCATAGCGCATGGCTTTGAAGGGCGGCCCGGGTCGATGGGGACAGGACAGCGACTAGTGCGTGCGACTATGCGAACGCTTGTACCTGCATGACGATATCATGTTTTGTTTTCAGAGACTGGCGTCGCTCGCACGGCTGCCGCTGCGTTGAGAGAAACTTGAGAATCGTCGGTACAATGTCCTCACTCTGCCGAATAGAGTGGAGTCGCTTGAGAGTCCATCGTCAGGGAATGGGGATGGTGAGGGGACTTCGGGTACAGCTCGCTCGCGATGCTGGAGGTGCTCTTCGTCCATGCGCAAAAGGTCCGCTTCGAACTGCTCCATCACAGTGAGGGCTGGCGCAAACTCGGGGCTCAAGAAGTTGTTGAGTGGTGGAGGGACGGCCTCCTGGCTCGCAGAGTAGTATAGCTGGGGCCTCATGTTGTTGAAGGGGTGAAGATGTTGGAGATCTTGAGGATGTTGATGCGATGTGCTGCTGTGGATGAGATGCTGGCCTACTTTCCAGAGGGTCGCGTCGCGTTTATATCACAGTATCGCATGTCGTCATGCTCTCTTCCCATCCCACACGCGCTAAGTCGCGTGGCAGCTCCAATATCGTACCTGAACCCCACGAGCCGTGCGCAGTTTCAATACAATAATAAAATAAGACGTTCCGGAACGATCGCATGTCATTTTCCCCGATCGCATGTTATTGTCCGATCTAGTGGTCACCAGCATCGTCATGGCCTTGTTCCAGACGGTACCCCTGAGACTTCCCGCTTTCCGGGGTCGATCGATCGTAGCGCGTCATCAGGGATGCTGCATCATCTGGCAAGATCCAGGTTTCACCCTAGCAGACAGCCCCGTGCGCGATGTGCAAGAATTGAAGAATGAAGTTGTCGGTGGCTTCTTCCATGCGCTCCTGAATCTCGTGAGAAAGGTCTTGGTGTTGTAGGCTGGCATCGGCTCGCGCTTTCCGACAACACCCTGCCTACCTCGGCTCATCGGGCGAAGACGGCCAATGCGGTGACGCTCCTCACGAACACCTCGATGACCAGCCGTGAGCACCCTATCGTCATCGCAACGACACATAGAAATAATGCCCATCCCCACACCTTTCGGCGGTTTTCTGCCCGCTGCTCGAGATCCACCATCTGCATTTCTTGCAGCTTACATAGCAAATCCAGGCCTTAAGTAGACGATACTGCCCGGGATGCCCACCCCACCCTTCTCCCAAGACCGCCGAGACTGGCTGAGCGAAATTTCTGGATTATTTTCCCAGCGCAAAACCAGGGACGTTAAGAACACGACATCTACGTCAACTGTAAACCTTAGATTCGGCACCCCTAAAGCTTTCGACTCTGTTTCAACTTTCAGTTCGAGATCTCGAGATGACGCCTCCACAAAAGATCAAGCAATGGCTCACGGGCCAGGACGGGCTCGATAAGCTCAGGATGGGCGAGGCGGAATGCCCAACCCCTGGCGAAGACGAGGTGTTGGTTGAAGTCCATTCCGTGAGTCTGAACTACAGGGATACCGAAGGTACGTACAGTGGGATGTGGTCACACCTACTTTTGTGGCAGGGTCCAGACGGCCATTTGAACAACGCTAAATACGTGGACAGTCGCCATGGGGCTTTACAACCACCACAAGTCCGTAGAACATCCCCCCGCTATTGTCCCATGCAGCGACATGTGCGGTGTAGTCGTTGCGGTTGGCCCAGTCTCCAACAACACTTCCGACCCCTACAAGAACCCAGCTTTCCAGCTCAAGGAAGGCGACCGGGTCATCAGTACATTTGCGCCGAAGCATCTCAGCGGTCAAATCAAGGCCTCAGACATCGCGGGTGGCCTAGGTGGACCTGCTCCTGGCGTGTTGACGCAGTACCGCGTGTTCCCCACGTATGGCGTTGTCAAGATACCAGATTATTTATCCGATGACGAAGCGGCTTGCTTGCCAATCGCAGCTGTAACCGCCTGGATGAGCTTGAATTGTATGCGACCAAATGGCGAGATCATCGGACCGGGCGAGAAGATCCTGTGCCAGGGTACTGGCGGTGTAAGCATCTCTGCAGCCCAGATCGCATCCGCAGCAGGCGCAGATGCCATCGTCACATCTTCCTCCGACGAGAAGCTCCAGCGTGCGTCCAAGCTCGGTGCGAAGACAACCATCAACTACCGCAACACTCCCGACTGGGAGAACGCAGTCCTTTCCGCTACCTCCGACGAAGGCGCCGACATTATCATCGAAGTCGGTGGTGCGCAAACGCTCCGCAAATCATTCGAGTGTGTACGCTTCGGCGGATTGATCTCTTGCATCGGCTACCTGTCCGGCAAGCAAGACGAAGCTGGCGACAGGACAAACACGAACCTGCTGTGTCTGAAGAGGAATGTCACACTCAAGGGCATTGTGAACGGTCCTAGGACTGAGCTCGAGAGAATGCTCAAGTTCTACGACGAGAAGAAGATTAAGCCAGTGGTCGACCGTGTTTGGAAGTTCGAAGAGGCGGATCAAGCGATCAAGTACCTTTTCAGCGGAGGACACTTTGGAAAGGTTGTCATCAAGGTGAAGGAGTAGATGATGTTATTGGTGCGTTGTGAGTAAGAATATATTATAATTCAACACTTGCTATTTGCTACCTCGTGATGGACTAAGCAGAAGACCGAGCGCGCCGCTCAGCATCAACGCTCGCACCCCACTTGCGGAAAGCCTTGGTAAAGCGCTTCGTCTCCTCAATAGCCTCCTCGTACTCGTCAGCAACGACAAGTCCCTCGTACCACGACCGCTCCGTCTCAGCCAGCACAAGGCGCCACTCCTTGCCCTCCTCCAGCGCCCACGCCAAACCGTGAACACCCAGGCGAAGTATCCATAAAGCAGCAGAGATCTTGAACCCCCACAACTCGTAGTTATCTCGGTCTGCCGTCGGCCAGTTCTCTTCGTGGTCCATTACAGCTTCAATGACGCTGTAGAGACCTTCCTGGAAATGAAAGGGGAGGCGGTGCAGACAGTGCATGATGTTGCTGATGTTGTTTTGGAACGGCTTGCTCTCGTTGGACCATTCCCAGGCGCAGTTGGCGAGAGTCTCGAGGCCGGCGATGAGTGACAGGCAAGCATAGCATTTGAATGTGCTGTTGCAGGTCTTACGGCACTCGGAGGGGCGGAGGTGATACCGGCAGTTCTCGACGGCGGTGACGTGCTTTTCGCCCTGTATTATGTCAGTTGGAAGGCTTCAACGTCCAAAGAGAGTAGTGCTGACCTTCTCGAAGAGACTATCCTCAGTGCGGGTGATCTTGATGATCTCGGTCCAGACATCTTTCGCAGCAGTAGAGGATGGTGTGAATACCTCTGGGTAGTCGCCGGGGGATACGAGGACGAAGTCGTCCGTGTCTTCCACGTCGTCGGCGATATTCATAGGGCCCTTGCTACTGACGCTATCAGCAGTCTCTGGAATTTGGGAGGAAGGCATATTCGTCGCGAGTGTGAGTTGGTTGTCACTATACTTTATGAAGAAAGTTGAGGCGTGTTTAGAATCAGGGCGCGGAGATGTGAGTCTGACGTTTTATATAGCACAAGAAGGGGAGAATACAGCTAGGGAATGCCATTTAATAAGTGGGTCTGGAACAGGTCCGTGGACTTGGGGCTTTCTTCCATAAGGAGAAGGGTGCGGTGAATGTGTGCATCGCACCCTCTCGCAGTGTGCAGATCACCAGGCCAAGCGCTCACTTGTACAACCATTCAGGCCACAGCAGAAGAACGTGATTAAGCGTACTCGGAGAATATATGTCTGTGGGTATCTTTGTTGGCTACAGGCTACAGCAATTGTTCGAACGCAAGCTGACCTCCAAGCAAAGGTAAAACTCGATCCTACACGCTTCCTCGACCGAGGCAAATATCAAGACCAAATGTCAGACATGACCAGTGCCGAGACGCACATGTTTTCCCTGGCGTAGAAGTCCCATCGACCCTTCAGTCGTCATCTTCAGTCCGACCCTTCTTAGCAAACATCCCAGCCGCGCCCCTCCCCCACATCGTCACCTCTGCAGCAACCCGCATAAGCTCCATCTTCTTTTCCTCATACTCCACCTTACCCTCATTCACCACAATCCACGCCTCCTCTGCCCCCAACAAAATCTGCATCTCGCTTTTGCCCTCCACCCTGCCCAGCATAAGCCCTTCAGGCCCAAGCTTCAGCGCCCAAATCACGACTGAGATCTCGAACTCCTCGTCGCGGACGACTTGGCGCTCTAGTTCCATCCAATCGTCGGTATCGAGGATGATTGACAGCACGATGGACAGACTGAGTTGGTGTTGCGGCGCTAGCATGTGCAAGTATTCCGCGACGAAAGATGGCTTAGTTGGGTTATCGGCGAAGATCTTGGAGCAGATGCGGAGGGTATCCAGGCCGTCAATGATTGCATTGGATGTTAGGCTAGGATGGGGTCTGGATTTTGTTTCGATGGCGAGGATTTTGGCGTAGTAGGCGATGATGTCTTGGTCGTTTTTGTCCTAAGCGGAAGCGTTAGTATGCATGATTAAGCTTTGAAGGGTGCTTGTATGCTTACTTCGATGGTTTTAGCAGTCTCGTCACGAACGAACACGTAGCTGCCATCAGGGTGCCTCGGCAGAGTATCGTTGGGTAGGGCGACGACTTGCTTTCCGTCGACGAGCTGGGTGAAGTCTTCTTGGCTGTTGATGTCGTCGTTCATGTGAGGTTTCAATGGATGCGGCATGACGGTTACCCTAGTGGTGAGAAGTCTGTCAACTCTGTATGTATTACCGGAGTTGAGTTACTACGGGAGTAGAGAGCCCAGTGTTCTTCCTAGGCCGGCCATCGCCTTGGTACATGACAGGAAGTAGGTCAGTGCATGAGGCGCGATTCAATGCCAAGATGATGCGATATGCAGTGTACAATTGAGCTTTCTCTTTCGTGAAGTACCCTTCTAAACCATGACGTTAAGTTGTAACTACGTCCGTGCTCGCCGCTGTAGGGAGCCAACAAGAAACAAAACATGCCAAACTACGCCCCTCTCATGCCTCCCGCTTCTCCTGAACTCGGTTATCTGCTATTCGTCTCCCCTGTCGGGCTTTCGCCGCCACGATTCTCTGCTCAACCCTGCAAGATCAATCCCATAAATCGAGCGTAGAAACAGTGACAACACAGTCTGTTCTCATCAGCAACTTGATGCGTGGTTATCGAACTTTGACTTACCTTCACGAAATCTGGCAAATCTTCTCCATTATCCTTGCCACTACTACCTTCACCAGTGGAACTCTTCTTCTCCGCCGTTCCCTTGACAAACCCCTTCCTGACACCACCATTCTGCTCTTCCATCTTGTCAGCGTCACTCTTGGACTTTGCATGTTCTTGCTCTTCACGCTCTGAGAGCTCACGCTCCGAACTCGAGCCTTCGGTGACAGAAGATGCGACATCGCTGTAGGAATGGTAGTCGGCTTCTACGAACACGTAGCTGTCTTCCATTTCTTGATCCTCGGCGATCTCTTCGTCTACGGTGACGACGTCTTTATCGGTGTCGGGTAAAATTCCACAGGTGCCTTCGCTGGGCTTAAGAATGGCGCAATCTTTGTCACTGTTGTCGTTACTAGCGACAGGGTGTTCGCTGGAAGACATGTCTTAAACTGTGCGTTGGAGGATAGTGTGACACGTTACAGAAGGAATAGCGTAGTCTGGTGTGCCCGCGAGTTGGGTGACTACGCTGCTGTGGAGTGACAGTGTGAACACTTCCATGCTAGGGTAGCTGCGTATATATGCGCCTTGGGAGTTCTATACCAGATCGCGCCACCAAGGCGACATTCAACCCTCTTTCACTCATATCAACAAGAAAGGCTGCGATCCGCATGAAAGCGACCCAAGCTTCATTATATCAACATTTTACCAGCAGTCGCTTGTCCTTCGAAGGCAAATGGAGCCCGAGTGAAGCAAGCGGGTGGTCGAGACATGGCAAATATGGCGAGCCACTGACGATCATCGCATTGCCAGTAATACCAGAATGATACGACCCTCGTGTGAATGGGAGAGACCAAGAGACTAAGAGCCCGTTCGTTGTCGTTAATAATGGCGAATGAACAGTGTCATTTAGCGTGGGATTCACGAAGCCTCAGTCGATTGCGATGTATGATGCTGAGTAAACTTAATTGTAATGCTTCTTAACGATCATAACTTTGATGCTGCGCCCTCCTCATATTCACTCAACTCTTTCTTATCGCAATCTCTGGGGCTTTCACCAAATTCCTTGCCCTTGCGACATGACAGTTCTTCCGCGCTCTTCCACTTCCAGGCCGTATCCTTCTCCTCACCGTTGCCCTTACCACTTAGTACGTTGCACATATATGCGCCAGCGACGGGGAGGAATCTGAGAAGTTGATTAGCATTGCATTCTTGAGATGAAGGCTAAAGTCACTTACTTGTACGAGTGGAAGCTACCGCCAACGGCGAGGTACAAGTTGGCGAGACTTTTGTGAGGATGTCGACACATTAGCCAGTCTTCGGTTGGCGTAACGGCGTCGTAGCAAATTCGCCATCGGTCTGGTTGCTTGCTTCGTGTCCAATCTGGCATAGCACCGTGCATAATTTGTGCGCTTTCACGCTTGAGTCTCTCAGGGACATCGTTCTGGTTTCTTCGAGATGGCATAGTGATATTATGACCAGAAGGGGTCGTAACCGTGTTGATGATTTCTGTCTTGATGTCGTTGATTTTCAGCGTTCGGTTCGGTTGCGAGGGTGGGATGATGTCGACCTCTCCGCCAATGACGATTACAGGTACTGTTTCGTCGATCATGCTCTGAGTGTCTTGTTCGTTCAGTGTATAGTAAGCAGAGACCCGTCCTACAGCGGTGATCTGGCGCTCGATGCGGTCTTGTTCCTGGATCTTCAAAGCATCCTCGATCGGCGACATCAAAGAGCTGGTCCATGCTCCTGCTGCCAATACGATCTTGTCGGCTTTCAGAATTTGACCATCTCTCAGCTTTACACCTGCTAGGCTGCGTTGGTCGGCGCTCAGCAATAACTCTTGCACGTCTCCAGTCACCCTCTTGACTCCTAGCTCCAATGCAACCTTCGTGAAGCTTTGTGTTGCTTTTTCCGCGTCGCACCAGCCGGCTTCACGATTGAAGTAGCCCTTTCCATATTCTGCAGCCTTGATGCCTTTCGTCACAGCGTACTTGTCCAGCTCTTGCGGTTCTAGATCGCGCGTGTAGTCGCCCCCCCTCTCAACGAATGTTTTTCTAATCGCGTCGCCAAAAGTACCGTTCTTTTTGTCTAAAACGACCCAACCGGTTTTGTGGAAATGCCCCTGTACTGCTATGCTCCAGAACCAAAAATGAATGGCTTCATTGGCAAGATTGCAGTAAAGATGTGACTCGTAGTCGGTACGAATAATGCGATTAGTGTCGATGGCTGCCGCTTGCTTTTGCTTTAGGGATGTATTGCTATCCCAACGGTCGACGATAGTAATTCGCGATGGATCTTTGTATTGTTTACCCAAATGGTAGGCCGTAGACGCGCCAAAGGTACCAGCGCCTATGATAAGTATCGTAGGCTCGCTGTTTGCCATATTGAACGAATAGTGATCAAAAGTCGTAAAGCTTTCAACGATGTCCAGGATGATGGTGAGGCTTCCTGGATGGTAGATGAGACTGCTTGCGCTAGTGTTGCGGGGTCTTCTGCGGATCCGATGCCCCAGCTTGCGCGAAAACGTGCATTGGCTCGCGCGATCGGGAAGGAACTCACGATGCCCAGGTACAACGCGTTCCGAACATGACGTATCAACACAAAAGCGGGCGCGTGCGAATGAGCCCTATTCTGTCCAAATTTGCGCTGCTTTGACAAGTGACATTCTGGAGCCCCGATTGGGCTTTGGCAATGATCGCAGTCGATGCGGGATGCGCGAAGCTTGCTTGGAGACCGGCGTTCGCGTCGCGACGTCGCGAGTATTCAGTGTCGCGGCAGGTGCAAGGACGACCGTCGCGAACAAGGTTTACGCGTTGTCCTTGAATGTCGCATCAATTGCATCGCCTCGAGAATGCATTTTAGTGGTTGAGACCAGCTTAAAGAGTACGTCGCGATGGCGTAGAGGCATGGTGGCACATCGGTCGTGAAAAGTCGCTAACTAGAGCTCGAGTGTCATCGCTCCTTCCGAATAATACAGCTTACTTCCAACACTCAACACCATCCATCACGCGCGTGCTTGTCAGTAGTAGCGGCGCACATCGCGCATACCAATGGCAGCAGTTCAACACGAACGGATTTGTTCTCTACATGTTCGACCCATTTGCTGCGGCAGTTTTGTTTGATCGTGCTCCACGCTCTCCAACCAGTCTCTTACATGTATGGGCACCATTCACTCATCAATAGGTATTCATGACTCCCGAAAAGTCACTTCCGGTAATACGCATGCGCTGGAATAACACGATGATAGAGAAAGAGCTGGTGATGGCAAGAGACATGGAGTAAGCCAGGGGCTGACCGCAGAGCTGGACGGACTAGCCGGTTGCATCATCGGCAACCTGTCGAAGATGTCGAATGTTTAGCCTGGAGGCCTTACTCGGTTTCAGTTCTGGATGTTCACTACCGACGAAGGATTCACGGTCCTACACCTGTTCTTCCAATGTAGAGGCTGCTTGCGAGATGCATTTCCAGGAATGGTTAGCGCAGGCTGTCTCGGCTAACCTTCCGTGTCAGACTCGAAGTATCTTTGGATACACGTACGAACACAGCGCAGAGCTTTACGCAGCAGAAGGCAAGACCTCAATTCAATATCACTGCTGGAACTGAACACAGAACCATCTGAGGAGCTATATTGAGACCAAGTTTTCACGCACCAATCTCAGATTCGCCACTGCACGATAGCACTTTAGTGGCTCCTTCGGCAAGCCCCACCATCCAGCGTAGAGTGCAGATTCAGCAACTCTCAACCAACACCACGATGTCTCCCAAGATCCATATCGTACGCCATGCGCAAGGAGAACACAACGCGACTGTATGTTCCAGATTGAGAAGATGAACCTCTAAATCAATAGTACTGACTGGCGGCAGCGCAATTACAGCATTCGCGATGCTGTGCTGACAGAAAAAGGCAAAGAACAATGTCGCACGCTTAGCTCGGCATTCAAACATCATGAGGAGATAGACATAGTATTTGCGTCGCCGCTACGACGAACGATCCAGACCGCCTCGCTGAGTTTTGGCCCTGTGCTCGCGCGGAAAGAGGTGCCGTTCGTGCTGTTGCCAGCCTTGCAAGAGGTCAGCAACATTGGATGTGATGTCGGAATTGCAGATACTGCAGATGATGTGCACGCATTCCTACCAAAGCTGTTCGCAGATGGTGAGCTTGACTTTGAAATCAGCAAAGTTGATGCATCAGCGGTGACAGCGGGCTGGAACTCCAAGGTTAGTCGATCTCCCGGTTTGACATCAGCATGCATGCTTACTAACGCCTCGCAGGAAGACTATTGGGCGTACGAGAAGCGCGCCATCTCGAAGCGCGCTTCTGATCTCAGGAACTGGCTGTACCAAAGGCCCGAAGCGCAGGTAAAGCTGCCGTTAGTTTCCTCTTAACAGCGGTTTGCTAATGGAACAGGTCCTGGTCGTCACCCATGGCGCATTCGCACACTTCCTCACCGAGGACTGGGAAGTCGAAGACCCCATGGTAGGCACAGCGTGGAAGAATTGTCGGTACATCTCTATATTTAGTCTGCAGTTTGAGCTAACTCTATGACAGGTGAGCATCGCGTGTTTACCTTCACACCTGAGTCGACGACGGAGGACGCCCACGTGGGTGAAACTTGGGAGAGCAGGCGAAGCAGAGGTGCCCAAGAAGTCGAGAAGGACCCGCATGTAGTGGATGAGTTTCTCAAGACAGCGGCGTAGTTGAGTAGTAGTGTACAAAGGCCGCGGCCTCAGGTAGCTTCCGACAACGGCTGTGGCATGCCGTTCCGTCCGTTGTCCAAGAGCCGGAGGGTCCACGAATAGCCAATACCCGATGCGTTTTTCCTGTAGTAACTTGCCCGAGTGCATTCGCGCCCTTTGATCGACGGATTCTCCCTTCGCTCCTAATCTGGAGTACCACGGCTGTTCGGCAAGCGCGCCATGATGGCGCAACATCCCACGGTGCCCGGTGCCCCCTGAGGCTTTTGGGATCCTGGGGTAGACGGTAGCCAGGTCCAAGCAATCACATTCACCCCCCATATCATTGGGCGGCGCAAAGTTCGGCAATGCACTCCACAAAACCCTGGATCAAAGATAAGCCACGGTCACGCCGCGCCTGCTATGACTCTTCGAGCAGCCAAGCTGCAGTGCGGCCAGACCAAATCACCGAGGGGCGCGTCGTGCATTACCGCGCTGGGTGTAGTCGACGGGACGCATCGGAGCAGCCTTAGTCAGAGTTTTGCGCCCCGGTACCTGTTCGGTTAATCTATCAAGCCCCGCCGAGGCCCGGGATGGCGCGGCCCTAAAGGCTTGTCGCCGCCCCCATGCAGCCAAACCAGCCCTACGCGACGCCTCTGTCGTCGTCACCACCCAGTGCAGACGCTTATCCCCAGCTTACAGGTTGTCGCGTGAGCACCGCAGCTCTCTTATCTCCAGAACCGCATGCATGGTTCGCTCTGATGTCA